TGAGTGTTTGCCTGCATGTATGTAAGCACGCCCCTGTGTGCAGTGCCTATAGAAGTCAGAAGACGCCATCAGATTCCCCCCCTGGAACTGGAGTTAGCTGCTATATAGGTGCTGGGAACTGAACCTGGGTCCTCTGCAAAAGCAGCCAGTGCTCTTAATCACTGAGCTATCTCTCCAGCCTCAGGACACTCATTTTAAAAATGGCGTTGGAGTCTAGGCTTGAGAAAGGTCAGAGAGCTACCATGTGGATATCTGTGAAAAGGAGAAATTGGGAGCAGATCCTGTATCCCACTAAACTGACTTTGACTTTTAATGAGAAGGAAAGCCATTGGAGAATTGGAGCAGAAAGTGGCATGATCTGAATTCTTAAAAGCAGCTCTAGCTGCCTTACAGAGGATAGGAGAGGGGCAGTGAGTCAGGTGGGATAGAGGGTTTAGAGCCATTTAAGCTGGAGATGATCATGGGCTAGACTCGGGTGGTAGTGGGAGAGGTGGCAGGCAGTCAGATTCTTGATCTGTTTTCAATGTAGAGACTTTTGATGTGGCAAGTGAGGGAGTAAGAGGGCTAAGGATGACCCTGAAAGTTTTGAACTGAATAGGTGGGAAGGCAGAGTTGCCATTTACTGACTGAGGTGATGATGACTGGAGGAGCAGGTTTGGAAAGAGAATAATGAAGGTGTGGGCGGGTGCTGGTCCTCTGGATGTTAAGGATGATGTAGAGAAAGACACTGGGTACGCAGTGGTCACTATTTAACTGTTCATTTTACATCCTGAGTTGGTCACTTGTGAAAATAAAAGCTGTGTAAACGATTTAAATTGGTATGAAGATGGTGCTGTAAATGACTTTTTTTAAAAAAAACTTTTACAAAAACTTGAGAATTTCATACATGCATATAAGGTGTTTTGATCAAATCCATGTCCACACTCTCCCCTCCAAATCTTATATCTCCCCATCGCTTTTTTCTGATAACCTCATGTACTCCTTCTTCTTTGATTGATTTATTTATTTTTTAATGGGGCTTTTGGCTACTCTAACATTCCCCCTTCTGAAGAGGTAACCCTAAAATCTTTTAAGGATTAGATAAAAGCTCCCAAATATTTTTGACATTTTTGGCCTTTGGAACGGAGTAGGTTGCTAAGAGGCCCAAGGACATTGTGAGTTTTGGCTAAGAAACTGGCTACTTTTCTTTGGGGTCTTTTTACCCTAACTGCTTAGTGAATTCCTACCTCCTATTCTTATCACACCATCCTCTGAAGGGGTTACCTAAATTGCCAATAGGGAATTCGGATGCCAACCACTCTGGCTTCTTCCATGCTGAACAGGGACGCAGGGTGATGCAATTTGAGTACCCCTTCAGTGGGTCTATCTAAAAGACTCCCAAATTGCATAACTCTTATCTCTGGAGGGAAAAGAAAGTCCTTGAATCGAGAATAGGAGATGTGAAGGAGAAGTAAAGGCAAGAGTAATTAGCATTACAAGTTCTAGACAGGCAACTAGAAAAAAGTCAGAACAGCAATTTTCAAATGTTCATATGAGAGTCCATTAGAATTTCTTGACAAGGGCTTCCAAAAGCATCTTTTTAGTAGAAATCACTTGTTTTTCTTTTGTCTTCCAAGGGTGGACTCTAGCGTGATAGATTCAGGATTTGCTTTCAGGTATTTTGATAGCTTTTGGAGTGGTTAGAATCAGTGTCAGTTCCCTTTCAAAGGGTTCCCCCAGTAAAACTTTAATGAAACGTTGGCTTGACACTAGAACCTTAAAAGGGAACCGTAGCTATAGGTGGGCACTACAGTATTGGAGACCAAGATTTGAAGTCCTACATTTAAGCAGCATTTTCTGATTAGGAGCAAAATCATCAATGTAAAATAATTGTCTAAATAACTTTTTATATAGACTTAAGGAAGCAGGCACTAGGCAAGGTGCTGCAGACTTGTTTATTACAGGAAGGACTTGGACTTACATAGTTTATTTGTCTCCTCTCATTGGTCCCTCTGTATCTCCTGATAACGTGGCCATTCGTGATTGGCTCTTCTAGTGGTCTCGGCTATTGCCAGGTGTTTTGACAAAGATCAGGTTCCAAGACCTTAATCAGTCTGACTGCACATGTGCTAGCGCCATTTTGTTACATCCCACACACTACAGTATTGAAGACCAAGATTTGAAATCTTACATCTAAGCAGCACTTTCTGGTTAGGAACAAAATCATCAATGAGAAATATTGTCTAAATATATAGAGTTAAGCCTAATGTCTGGGAAGTGTAATCCCTTGAACTCTTAAAGAAGTATACTGATGACTTTACTCTTTGGTTATGCTTTCTTTTTGGGTGTTTAAGACCATACAGTTGTCCCAAATAAATCAATTTATTTTTACTCTCATGGGTCATTTGAGGATCTTTTCCTCAGGGGTCACATGGGCTTGGGAGGAGGTCCTGCCTCTTTTCTTTTACCAGTTCCATCTATGTGAAGATAAGTCAAAGGTCCTGCTCAACCATGTCTGGCTTCACTTGGAAGCATGAATGAGATGTGTCCTCTGAGTTGACCTTCCTCTTTATAGACTGGACACTGGTTCATGTCTATCTCATGGGGTCTCCATGTCCTCCCTGAACAAGAGGACAGGTGACTCAACACATTTACAGGACATTTTGAGAGATGTTCCATAGTCCCCTGGATCTGGGTCGACCTTGGAGGGCAAGGGGCAAAAGACTGTCCTTTAAGTCCCTCTGACCACATTAGTATAGGCCTCAAACTATGGCTGTTAAACATCCAATAAGGTTAATTGTACCAGTCTGGTACTTTTAATTATCATGTGCTATGTAGATAAAGCTTGGGTAAAAAAAAACAAATATTCTCAGATAAACCTTGACTAGATATATATTTTGTTCCTTAAACTAGTTGGCTAAACTATGACCTTAGAAATTTTAAGATTTTAAGATTACGTGTATATTATTTTTGTCTCATCCTTTATATATCATAACAAACCTAAGCAGACCTTCATCAGTTGCTTAGGCTTTTTCCTTTTTTCTATTTTGGAAAATATCTCCATTCCCATATGCTTTTAACATCTTTTACATTCTCAATAAAAAAATTATGAGACATAATAGCATTAATAAATAAATTCTCCATCTGTTGTGCGACTTCTTTTCCTGGAGATGCTAAGCAATGCTTCTTTCCTTTTAAGGTTCTAGTGTCAAGCCAATGTTTGATTATGTTGACTGGGGAGCCAATGAATTTATTAAGCTTACTTACCGAGATAACTGAGGGGTTGCTGAGGTGTATGTATGACCTGAGGGTGTGCACACTGGAAAGCCTTTACCCAGCATGGGTCATGCCTTCTCTTCCTAGCCTTCCCCAGATTGTGTACTTTAGCCCTCCCCAAATCCAGGAGGCCGATAATGTGGTGAGGGTCCAATGGTAAATGACTTTTTATATATAAAGAAATAATATTAGTTTTTCCAAGATCACAAAAATGAAACTTTATGATGGTAGTACCCTGGTATTCTGATAACTTTGCTCTGTTAGTCACAAAATTGGCATAAGGGAAGTTCCCATGATTTCTATAATTGTTTGAGCAAAAAATACTTTGAGCTGAATTCACATTGTACACATACCCATACAACAGGCAGACTTCTAGAGAAGTACAGCTACTGCTGATAACTGTACTTGAGGAAGTACAGTTAACACTTGAGAAAGCCTACCTAGTAGGTCTTTTGATGTGTTAAAAATATGTTTAATGTAGGCTTTAAATTTGAATGTGCATTTTAAAATTCTTTTTTTTTTTTTTTTTTTTTTTTTTTTTTTGGTCTTTTGGAGATAGGGTATCCCTGTAGCCCTAGGTGGCCTGGAGCTTGCTTTGTAGACCAGGCTGGCCTTGAACTCACAGAGGTCTGCCTCTGCCTCCCAAGTGCTGGGATTAAAGACATGTGCCACCATGCCCAGCCTTGCATTTAAAATTTTTTTTTAATATTTTATTTATTTTTATTTTATGTGTATGAGTGTTATGCCTGCATGTAAGTCAATGTACCATGCTGTGCAATCCCTGCGGAGGACAGAAGAGGCTGTTGGATCCCCTGGAACTGGAGTTATGGACAGTCGTTGGCTGCCATGTGGGTGCTGGGGTTCAAACCCAGGTCTTCTGCAAGAACAGTCAGTGTTCTTAACCACTGAGCCATCTCTCCAGCCCCAACATTTTAAAATTCTTTAAATGGTGAATAGAGATGTATAAATGTAATTTATTTTTAGAGACAGTCTTATATTTAAGGAACTCCTTTAAATTGTTTACTTTGGTAATTTATTTTATCAGTTGTATAAAGGGGAAAGTGCATCTGTACATTCTTAAGTATTTCCTTCTTATAGTATAATGCATAATATTTATTTTTTGAGGTTTATTTTAAATTATGTGCATGTGACTGTAGTTTCCTGTGGAGGCCAGAAGAAGGCATAGGATCCCTTGGAGCTGGAGTTACAGGTGGTTGTGAGCCGCCTCAGCTGGGTGCTAGGAACAAGACTTGGGTCCTTTACCAGCACAGTACTAGTTTTTAACCACTCTGCCATTGCTCCAGCCCCTACAATGTTTATTTTTTGAAACAAATACAGGAAATGAAAACACACGTGACTGAGCTTTGACCTTATTACCCTCAGTAAGATGACATCTGCATATTTCCATTAGCAAAGTAAGAGTTCAAATCCATCAGAACCACCTACTCTGTTATTTAAAGGTTTATGTGCTGCTTATAATTTTCATTCGGCAAAGCAAGATAATGTTATTTATTGTCTAAATCCATAAGACATTATTTCTTAAGACATTTAAAGTCTAATGAGTTAAATATTAGAAACAGATGAGTAGAGTTTTCTTAAAGGAATAAGAATTGCATCTCCTGAAGAGTCCTATATGGTAGTAATTTGTGGACTATGACTGCTGGTTCTCTGTAACCTTGGATCTTTTAGGAATTACCCTTCAGACCTCTCGTCTCTATAATAGCAAACTCTTTGTGATCACACAGGAAGTGCTGCATGGTGCAAGCATGGAAATGCAGTTAACGGCTGCAGTGTCATTTCTGACCATTCTGCAGGAAGACTCAATGTCGGTCCACACCTATGCCCACTCCTTCCTGCACGTCATCCTCCTGCACCTGGAGCACAGGGACACAGGTCAAGGCCCTGCATGCTTAATTATGTGCTTGTTTATGGTATCTCATAAGGGGCATAGTGTTTGCATTTTGTGAGCCTGATGAAAATAACAGATCAGTATAAGACGTACCCTTGAGAGCTGAAGACGTGTTAGTTCCATCCCTTGATTGATGCTCTCCTTAGATGTTTTTCTTGATGTTTATGGGATTATCATGCAGTGAAGTAGGATACCTTGGGTTAGAAGTACCTTCCCCAAATGACTTTTAAATGTTTAATTTTTTTTCCTAAATGTTAGCCAAGACAAAAACTTTAGAAATCTTCTTAGAATATTAATAATTATCCTTATTTTATCTTTAAATGTAATTGCAACTGTTAATGGATGAGCTGAAAGACCATTTGCAACTGAAACATTTAATTTAGTATGTAACATCTGTGTCCATCAGGTGTCAGCAATGCATGGCTGGAAACTCTTCTGTCTGCAATAGAAGTATTGCCAAAAGATGTACTGAGGCACGAGGTAATTAATACTGTGGGTTTTTTTCTTTTGTAAATAGTCACTTTAAGTTTTCCAAAAATGTTTTTCCTTTTTCCAAAAGGAATAAAATTTTTTCCCGTTGTGAGAATAACACACACTCACTGCCAAAAAAATAACAATATAGAAAATGGAAGAAAAGTAATTTACTGTTCT